ACTCACCTGCTGTGTGCCTCTGCGCTGCCCCAAACGCCCCCTCCTCTCTATCCCCTTTACCCTTCAACCCCTCTTTCTCCTCCATCTCTCTCTCTCTCTCTATTCCATCCCTCTCTCCATCTTCCCCCAATGCCAGGTCTTGCCAAGCTGTCAGTGGGGCAAGGTGTGGAGGGGAGATAGCATGTACACACACAGATGCCTGAGTACACATACACAAAACACATGGTGCTTACGCAAGCTAGACTACAAGGGCTGTGCTACCTCTGCTGCACACACACACACACACACACACACACGCAGAGTGGTGGTCGTCCTCCTCTGCTCTGCCTCGCTCTGCTTCACTTGGCTGCCTGACTAAAGCTAAGCTGTGGTTATCCAGGCTGCCTCAGTGACACAGGCACACAAGGCGTGTGTGTCCGCGCTGCATCCAAACACAAGGATGTAGATCAGTGCAAACACAGGCGCACACACACACTGAGCGAGCAATGACAGACTCACTGGTCCACAGCAGCGGCACCGAGCGTTAACAACGCTGCAGCACTGACAGCCACCTCTAACACACACTGACTACATACTGATCAAACAGATATCACACAGTAACACAACAACTGGACTGATCCATGTGCAGTCAGACAGTACCAGAGCTCTGAGTCATCATCCATCAACAGCTTTACAGCTTCTTTTGTTCGTTACAACGCTAACCCAAGACCACAAAGGAGATGTATACATGAGGACAGTCTCCAACTGAACAGATAACGCCAAATAATATCCATGATTTAATGCTCTTTGAATCTCCACTTTATAAGACACAATATCCATTTAAAGCAGCAGCAGCAGCATTTCTCTGATGCTCTCTCTGAGCTAATTGAATTCATTTTGTTTATTTTCTTTTGATATACGATTCTCTTTCAAGTGTTGATATTTATATGTACTACTGTTCCTGTTCAGCTCTGACAACCTGCTGCTGTGACAAAAGAATTAGATAGAAAAGAACTTCTATCTCTCTATTAAGGACAGTTACTGACTACAAGGGCGTTATTTTTTCTGTGCCCATCACTTTGGGTTTATAAAGGTGGGCTGTATGTAGCAGCTGCAGTTAACTGAAATATTATGGCAGTATGGCCAAGTGCAATATCCAAATCGGCGAAGCCCAATCATATCGCAATATCTGTCCAAATACGATGTTTGTGGCGTATCGTGCGACCCTACTGTGCAGAGTAATCCCTAATAAGAGACACATCCCTGTTAGACTGCCCATACAGCCCACACAGCCCACAGTAACACATATTCAAACCACAAGCAACTTCGTGTGTGGCGTGCAAGCAGCCTGTCCTGCTATTGACCGACTGAATCCCACCCAGCCTCAGATCAAACAGGCTTAACTTCACAACCTGAAATCCTCCTCCAATGAGAGTCACGCTGCTAATCAAACTGCACACCCAGTCTGAACCGCTGTCTCGGCCCCCAGGCAGCCACAGAAAGGGAAAGCCTATATGGTGGAAGGAAATGGGGGGGGGGACCACATGGTCAGCCCATCCCGTTGCCCATCTGGGTCCCATAAAGGAAACATGGAGGCCAAGGCCACCACATGCCCTCTTGCATGATGCCCACTCACCCATGCACTGCAATGAATACTATTTTATGGTAGAGGAAAAGGGGGAACAGTCATTTACATTTTACATTAAAATCTGGACTTTCTGGTCTGGAGGAAACTTAAATGAAATCAATCTGTAAATGACTATATTATATGTTCAAAGTGGGAAGAAAGAATATGTTCCTTTTCTCATGCCTAACAAATAGAATTAAACACATTCATGTCCAGCAGAGCTCTGCAGGTACTCCAACACTTCCAGCTTTCAATCCGAGTTCTTAAACATTAAAACAGGAGTGTAGAAAGACATCCACTGTCCTGGGGTCAAACGGTCAAATTTACACAACAACACGGGAATAATCCAGATTAACTGAGTGAATTACAAGTTGATCCAAACAGCACAACCCACGCTGTCAGGGGCGAGAAATAAAAAGAAACGATACACAAGTGTGTCATCTTTCAAGTAGTGACAGTGTGGCAGCTAATTGAAAACAATTAGCCTGTAGTGGACACCGCAGCTCTTCCCACAACCAGGGCCTTTTATTGGGAATTTAGGAATTTAAAAATCTGTTTTTTAAGGCAATTAGCAGCCAAAGTGAGCACACACACTGATTTACCTGCATGCAAACCTTTGAGAGTTGGGATATGAAATGTTGGACTGCTGTCCGCTCACATGAGGCTCAAAATAAACTGTTTCTTACCTTTAACGGAGCGCGGTTTGGCCTGTTTTCGTCTGGACATCTCTGGTTGTCGAACAGTTGTTGTTGTTTGTGTGTTTGTGTGTGTTAGTTTTTTCTTTAATCTTTATTTCTCTAATTGTTTTTTTTTTGTTCCGTTCCGTGTTTTCAGCTAACCATACAGGCGGCGGACACGGTCGGGTTTATCTGTCCTCCTCCTCCACCACCACTTCGCTGCTGCTTCTTTCGCCTGTTGCAATGCGGCAGCTTCAGTCTCTGAGTGGGGGGGGAAAGCGGCCGTTCGTCCGGCGACAGCAAACCCAAACACACCGGGAGTGAAGCGGGCTCGGAGGCGACGCTCGGCTCCTCCGGTGCGTTATTCTTCTCCGACGGTCGCGCAACCTGTAGAATAAAACGGCAACAACTTCCCGGTTGGTATTCCGTTCCTCTCCGTTGCCGCGACGCCTCGCTCTCTTTTCTTGTTTCTTCTTTTTTTTGTTTTGTTTTGGGTTTCTTTTTTTTGGTGGGGGGGGGGGCGTCATTCTCCTCTTCTCCTCTTTCTCTTCCTCCTTCTCTCCCACGCGCTTTTCTTTGCTTGCCTCCTCTCCGCGCTCGACTCCTGCAGTCAGCGCTATTGCGACGTCGCGAGCTGCCAGCCACGCGCGCGGCAAACACCTGAGCAGGTCCCGCGCGGTGTCGAGGAGGAGAAGTGACAGCGGCACCGTCCGAGCGCGCGAGGCGGAGGTGCCACGGCGGTGCGCGAGGGTCCAGGTGATGAGAGGCGACCGAGAATGTTCTGGGAAATTGCTCTCAAAATGAAACGTGGCTTCTTCTTCTTCCTCTTCTCCCCCCTCCGCGCGCGCTCCTCGCGTCTTCGCCGGGGCTTATTTAGTTTATCGAAACTATTTCAGTCTGTTTTTTGGTTTTCTTTTCCCTCCAGGAGAGCGGCACCGACCCGAACCGACCAGTGTTCCGTCCCGCTATTCTACACTAGGCAGTGGTGGTCTGGTGGCAATGCATGGACATTGCGCTCTTCCCCTGCATCTCCACCCCGAGGGGAATACTTGCTTTTACTACCCACGCTTTCTTTTTTGTTAATATTTCTCAATGCCCCACCGGCGGTATTAATAGCAGCCTAATATTTCTAGCAATCTAACCCTTCGCTAGCCTCTGTCTCCCTGCTTTTTCTTTGTCCTGACTCTGGCTACCAGTCTCCCTCCTCCTCCTCTGCCTGCCTCTGCTGGCGGGGCTGCGGCGCAGACACACATAATAAAGCCAAGGCAGGCAGTGCTTGGCTGGAAATGTAGCCGCGTCCCAGCAGGGGGATGTGAGAGAAGGGTCCCGGCGGGGGAGCGCTCTGATCCCGCAGGGAGCAGCTCGGCACAGCCCGGGTTGGCTGAGGCAGAGAGGCAGGAGAGAGAGGCAGGCTGGGCTGACAGGAGAGAGAGAGGGGAAGGCAGAGGGGAGAGTTAGGCAACAGCGCCTAGCTGTGGCCGACCGCCGCAACTACAACAGGGGCTCTGAGAATACAGAGGAAGGAGGCAGAGGGAAAATATGGACTTGGATTAAAGTGGGATGTGGAAGAGGTTCAGTACGTGAGTTTGACACACAGGAAGGATTGGATGAAATGTCACCAGGTGCTGAGGGTATAAAGTGTTAAACCACAGCAGTGACACTGCTTCAAACATTTCTGTTGGCTCCCTGCATTTAATATCAGGCCCCTCTCTCCGGTGGCTTCACTACAGAGCCCGATAACCGTAGAGCCTCAGAGCCCTCGTCAGCTTCCCCCTTTACCTCTACGCAGAGATGCTATGCTTTTTTCGTTACCTTAGAATGAGACGTGTGTTCAGTAAGGTGCAATTTCACAGCTCGATGCCTCTTAATCCTACACACTGCTCCTTTTAAATTAGCTAATGTTAACAAAAGGCTGAATAGTTATAATATATACTTTGACTACAGGCCACTGCAAGATGTGACAGACAGTATGTCTTTTTATGGTATTATATTAGTTATTAATATTCAAATATCTTTATTGAGTTTCACCTATGTTGGCTGCAATCACAAAAGTGTTCAATACTCCAAAATAAGATATTATAAAAACAACAAATTATTGCTGGCTATTTGTATGAAAATACACATATAGTTGGACACAGTGCGTGTGAGCTGGTTGTATATACCTTTATTCTAATTAAAGAATATCAGCAGGTAAGGCAGAGAATGCTATAGGCTCCGCCTGGTGAGTTGTTTTGGCGTTTCCTGCAGGACTACACCAAACAATGCAGTCAGTGGATTAGAATCAGAATCTCCAAAATAATACGTGGCAGTGGATAAAAAAAATACCATGTTATGCATGGACAGAGGAAACAACTTCATTCAGTTAAAGGCAGTCTCGATTTCTTTTGGCTCGCTCTTAATATCGCTCAATATTTTCACACCAGTAGTTGATTTAAACACATTTCCTGGAATGTCTTTTCCCAGCTGCTTCATGGAAATTCACCAGAAATTTGCACAGCTGTTGGAAGGAAACATACCTACAGTGGAGTCATGTCCTTTGTAATTCCTTCCACAATCTGAGGTCAATAAAAGGTAGACTTTTTTTTTTGTTGGGTTGAACAAGTTGTGGCACCCTAGTAAGTAAGTACCCTTAAGTAAAGGGTTAAAAGAGTCCAAATTTGACCTTTTAGACAGCAGCTGTGGTCAGCATGAATCACTATGAGAGCTTCAACTGCAATTGTAGTGGTAATTTATTGTGAAGAAAGTAATGTTTCATTCGTAAGCAGCCACTAATCTAGTCGACAAAAATGTAGTTAAGTGGGTTTCAAATATTAAAATAGTTCATGTGTTTTGGGAAATATAGTTGTTGTATAGTATGTTCTTTTTGCTCGACTTCCATGAAATGCAAAGACCAACCGCAATCCCAATGCAGACACAAGTTCGCATTTAATGCAATATCTCATATTTTAGTCCATTTAAGATTTAAGGCACTAACAGCAATAATAAGCTTGCAGGAAACAAAGGCATGGATTCACCCTGTAATGGTCCATTCCCTCTGTGAAATGTCTCCACAGGATTTGTGCACAGCAGTTTTTCTGACATTTTTCATGTTGGATGTGCTCCCTGTTTCTTGAGCGTTCGTCATTTCACTCATTTGTGGTGGATTAATTTCTTTAGGACAGTGTCTCACAGGATTAGTTTAAGCCTATTCATTTAGGCTGAGCAGAACCTATCCGTGCGAAATGAACATTTTCCGCACTTTAGGTCGAGACCACATGAAATGTCTGTTTCTATCCAGTCACGGACACACAAGAACATAGTGTTGCAGTACCTCAAATGTTTAAAATCTGCTGAGCCATTTCCTTAAAAGAAAACACCTCTCTGTCCTCCTTTGCCCTTTTTCTTCTATGGTGCTTTGGACATGCCCCTACAAGAAGAACTTTTATTCTGAGAACTGTTTTCACATTGGAGGGCACTCTCTGTCACAGTGAGAATAAACCGTTTGACTTACTGTATAAACATAATTAAATTAGCCACACCAGTGTGTGCATACGTGTGTGTCTGTGTTCGTGTCTCTTCTTCAAAGCTCCTTTATTTCCAGTTTAAAAAAAAGGAGAAGAAGAAGAGGGACACGTCTGTGGACAATATAAAGCAGACAAAGAGGGAAAAAATGAAAATCACTGGGTGCTTTGTTCTTCACTCTCTGCTCCAACCGAGCGCTCTCTAACCGCAGCTGAGCTTTTCCATGTTCTCTCTCTCTCTCTCTCTGGTTGTCATGGATAACTGGGTAACGTGGAGCTCACTGTGCTGACCAGCAGGACCACTGCCCTCCGCAGATTGAGCCTCCCTGCCCCCCACCCCACCCCGTCCTCCCATGGAGAGACAGAGCAGCCTTTAAGATTGACCCCCCGCTGGGTTCAGGAAGGTGGGGGGCTCTTGTCTCTGTGCCCTCCCCTACCTTCACCTCTTCCTCCTATGATAATTGGTGCACGCCAGGGAGGACCGGTGTGTGCCATTTGGCTTAATGTGTTGTGTGTGTGCGTGCACGTGCATAGCTCCCCCAGTGTGACTGCCCCTGGCATGGAGAGGCAAAAGCCCTCGCTCAGTGGTTGGTCCCCCCTCCGCCCCTTTCCCCCCTCCTCGTTTCTGCCGGTAAATACAAAGAGTGGGAAAAAAGCCCACATTACAAGCTCCTTAAGGGTCAAGGACAGGCCCCAGTCTGAATAGCTTCTAAGAGTCGTATTGTTGAATCACATAGCTAGCGATTACACCCTCTGTCATCTCCGTGCGGATTTGGCTTTTTTATACACACAACAAGAGAACATCAAGTATCAGCTACTGAATAAGTCGGCCAACAGACATGCAGCGGGAATTGATACAGACAGGACATCAATGGAGTAAACCGGGGGCAGATGTAGAATTACAGACCCAAAAATGGGGATTTGGCTTAAAGATTTCATACCTTAACAGCAGTCTGTTTTACAATGATGTGGAATGTGAGAGCTCCGAGATTGTGGCACAGAAAATGAGGTGCCAGAAGTTTGTGTGTTTTCATGAATACATTCTGTAAATGTTGCTGCGGTGAACGTTTTACCAACTGTCATGGAAACCACTGGGATTATGTTCATTCTTCTGACCGAAAGTGAAAGTATAAACACATTTTTAAAAGGGGCTCTGGGATTTTCAAATTTTTCGGTCTTACGTCGCAGTTTCGTAGCCCAGGGGAAGTCATAAAGGCAGCAGGGGCCAGGTGTGTTCCTCACATTATGGCTTCTTTTTGGACAGAATACTCTTTAAGAGTGATGAAATCTCCTTTCAAGCCATTGTGTGAGGGGCATACAAATTCCTTTCTTTGGCACCACCTGTTGGTAGTATGAAGAATGGCACTGTGACAGGGAGCAACTGGTTGGAAGGTTCTTGTCCTTGTTGCTACTTAAACCTCAGGAGTTTTAACTGGTTATAAA